TGTAGTTGGAAACCTATAACAGTTATAAAATGGTGAATTTTTAAAACTTTGTTATTAAGATTTGTAAAAATCAACACTGTCATGTTCTTTTTGTAAATTTTTTGTGTGTAAATCGCATTTGTATATCATGTGAAATATGTAATTATTTCCTTTCGCGCGATGTTAGTTTAGTTAACTTAAATGTGTTTTCCTTCGTGTTTTTGTTATTGAGGTAATTGTCTTTAATTTTAAAGTTAATGTTATAAACGTCGTAGTTGTGCATTCGTATCGAATGATGTGCGTTAAACATCTTCCACTCTTGTACTTATAAACGTAAAAGTACCATTGTGTGTAAATCGCATTTATATATCATATGAAACCTGTAATTATATTCTTTCGCGCAATGTATTAGTTGTAGAGCATCGAAAATGAATGAAATAGTTGTGACTATTAGAGCTAACTAGACCACCGTGACCCGTTGGGTCAACCACTATTCAGAAGTTATGAAGAATATAAGCTAATTTCTGTATTGCACCGAAATGAAGGTTTATTTTGAGATAATTTAATTAAATATTTCAATCCATTCGTGCTATTCATAATTCAAGAAAAGATATTTGATTGTTGATCGGGAGTAAAAGGAAAGACCATTTCGTTGTTCAAAAAAATGAAGTAAGACGTTTCGTAAAGAGCGCGAACGGTAGTGTGAATGATTTTTTTGACTGAGAAAATTAGCAAACAAACAATCTCAGAGTTTTAGTAGTATATAGATAGATTCTCCAAGATCTTGTTTTTGTCAACTTACGCCTTTTAATGAAGATGGGAACATAATATAATATAATAGCCAATGCTCGGTGAGAGGTTTTCGTTTATAAAATTTTGTTGTTGTTCTCAACTTGATTTTTATTTTATTACCTCGTCTCCATAGTTACTATTTGCAAATACATGTAGTCAATAATATTGTAGGTCCATTTTATTGTTCTTTCTACGCGCTCCCTTATAACACATCTTCATCTCATCATTTAATTTATGTTGTGCATATATTGTTGTATAGAAGATATTTTAAAGTGATTCATCAGATGGAAAACTAAGTTTTATAATAATGGAATGTACGAAAAGTGACCCGAAAAACGGCGCTAATTCGGTAATCCGTGGCCTAGTTTTAACGAAACTTGTTTTATTCTGTTTCTATTCTCATTTCATTACAAATATGGCGCTTTTGTGCGCCGTTTTTGCTGTATTTAATTACAGACAAGCATACACACAAACAAACAATCAATCTCAGAGTTTTAGTTGTATATAGATAGATAGATTCATCAAGATCTTGTTTTTGTCATCTTAGCCTTTTAATGAAGATGGGAACATTGACAGGGAAATAATACAATAGCCAATACTAGGCGAAAGGTTTTCGTTTATAAAATTTTGTTGTTGTTCTCGACTTGATTTTTATTTTATCACCTCGTCCCCATAGTTACTATTTGCAAATAGTCAATAATATCGTTGGTCCATTTTATTGTTCTTTCTACGCGCCGTTATAACACATTTTCATCTCATCATTTAATTTCTGTTGTGCATATATTGTTGTATAGAAGATATTTTAAAATGATTTTTACTTCCATTATATCCATACTTTAACTATCTTTAATCTGAATGAAAAAAAATTAAAAACTGCCCACTTTTACTTAGGCGAAGCTGTAATAAAAATGTTAGACTGAGGTGATAACTCACGTGACTTTTTGTGCAGGCACGTGCAAAAAGTTTTGTTAAATTTGAGTGTTTTCTTAATAACTTTGCACATATGGCTAATGTTTACACCAAATGTGACTCCTAATTGTAGGTTGAAAAGATTTATTAGTGTACCAGATTTGAAAAAAAAATCCATAAAAGTTAAGTGTTTTTGTATCAAATAAAGTTTCTGTACTTTTCATGTGAGGAAGAAAAAAAAAGAAATTGGAGATGTTGTATTTCAGGTATTTCTCAATGGATTTCCTTGAAATTTAATATGTGAAGTAAGAGTCCAGTAGAGCACATCCACTGAAAATATGTGATTGTTTGGAGTACCACAGTCTGAGATACAGAAGGTGGAAAATTGTGAAACTATCACTCTTGTTAATAACACACAGCAGGTTGTTTTGTCTGCAAGACACACTACCATGTGTCTTGATATTCAGGTTAATGCAAAGCTTCATGAGATAAAAGTTTCACTGAGTGCTATATTCAGGTTAATACCAAGTTTCTTTAGATAAAAGTTTCACTGAGTGCTATATTCAGGTTAATACTAAGTTTCTTTAGATAAAATTTTCACCGAGTGCTATATTCAGGTTAATATCAAGTTTCTTTTGATAAAAGTTTCACTGAGTGCTATATTCAGGTTAATACCAAGTTTCTTTTGATAAAAGTTTCACTGAGTGCTATATTCAGGTTAATACCAAGTTTCTTTTGATAAAAGTTTCACTGAGTGCTATATTCAGGTTAATATCAAGTTTCTTTTGATAAAAGTTTAACTGAGTGCTATATTCAGGTTAATATCAAGTTTCTTTTGATAAAAGTTTAACTGAGTGCTATATTCAGGTTAATACTAAGTTTCTTTAGATAAAGTTTCACCAAACTGTAATAGTCAGGTTTATACTAAGCTATAAATACAAAGTTTTTGTTATTTTTGCTTTGACAGATGTTAAAACTGTTTGCAATACATTTTTATATCTGTTACATACAAGACTCAAAGTGAAAATGACCCTGAGTTAACGGTTTGATTGCAAAAAAAGCTCTTCTACCATAACTAACTTATAGGTTATTGTCATTTAGATGAGGTAGTCTTCATGATGAGTAAGCAAAGATGAAATGGGAAGCAACCGCTTAGTTCAAAGTGATATTTGAGGAGAGAGTTTTTGAGGATTAATCTAAAAATTAACTCGTGTGGAAAGGATGACCTGAATATGAAAGGTGGAAGTCGTTCGAAACATCGTCCTTTTCACCTGAGCTACTTTTGTAAGCTATTCCTTCAAGAATTTTTCTTGAAGTTTCACTCCGAATTTGACAGTTGCTGCCAATTTCATCTTTGTTTAATCTATAGATTATTGTACTGATCAAAAAAATATATTCTGACTAGTTTTTCAGACTTTTATGTTTTATTATTATTATGGTCAAGTGTGATTATCTAAATCCTAATATTAAAAAAATCTTGAATTCAGAAAAAATATTATATAATTTTGGGTCAAATTTGTTTAGAGGAAGTCATTTATTGAAATTTTCCTGTGAAGAAAGAAGGTTGTTGACATACAATAAAATATATGTATTTAAGTTTTTAACCCTTAAAAGATCAAGGATTTTATGAATTGTTAGTGACCAAGGGGAGTTTTTTTTACAGCCTCTCCCTTAATTTATTATTAAATCTGTAGAAAATTAATTCTACATTATCAACTTTCATTATATGTTTATTTCTGATCATGTGTATGCTTCCAGTGGCTCAGTGGGAAACCTAAATGCTTATAATGCTTAATTAATTGTGAGTTTTAATCTCTATGTTGGGTACAGCATAGATAGTCCATTGTGTGGCTTTGTGCTTAAAATTAAACAAAACCTGAATATGTATGTCAACATTTTGAAAAAAAAAGAAAATAATATTGTTCTTCAAATGTTAAACTATTGTACATAGATAAAGATAACATAGATGCTTCCTCCTAGGGTGAAGTACCTGAGTTGTTAGGTAAAATGAATTACACCCTCTCTCTCTCTCTCTCTCATACACACACACACACACACACACACACACACACACACACACACACACACACACATATATATATATATATATATATACACACACACACACACACACACACACACACACACACACACACTATATATATATATATATATATATA